TTTATTTATTTATTTATTTATTGAATTTATATGGCTGCCCATCTCATCCAAAGTGACTCTGGGTGGCAAACAATAATTAAAATAAAACAACATATATATATTAAAAAGCAATCATTATTAAAAATACAACCATCAGGTATAAGAGAGAGTAAAGGAGTAAGTAAGAGAGTAAAGAGATAGCCGTCTTGAAATATCCCTGGTTCCCTGGGACCTCCAAGCCTGATGACAAAGCCAAGTCTTGAGGGACTTTCAGAAGTTGATTATAATAAAAGGATGGACACATAGACTGATGTGTCTGTATCTAAAAGTAGGAATCTAAATACATTTGGCTCCACCTTCTGCTGTTCTATATTCTTTATCCACCCAAACAGAATGACTGGGACAAGAAATGTCTGAATTTGGTTTCAGTTGTATCATGAAAGTCTTATGGAGAAGAGGGTAGCAATAACAATTAAGCCAATAAATTAAAAGCGATCAAGCTGATATTTCCTTCTACCTCCTATGATGTGTTCTTAATCCATTTGAAAATGCACATTCAAAAAAGTCTTGCCATAGTCATTTCTACTTATTTGATAAGGCAACATTTCACATGGCAAAAATTCTCCATAGTCCCTGAAAGATCTAAATCAAAAGGAGTGGATGGATCTTACAGCTGCTTTCCAGCTGAAGATCTGCTCACCTTTTGGTCCCACCGGTCCCAATGGTCCTTCTGAACCTGGTTGTCCAGGTCTACCGGGTTCTCCTGGAGGGCCAGCTCTACCTGGGGAGCCCTCCTTTCCAGGTGATCCAGGAGGCCCTGGTCTACCTTGAGGGGCTTTGACATGGGAAGGCTGCAACTGGCTTATGAGGTAGGGCAGTCTGGCTGCAGGGGGGAACAAAGAAAAACAGAGAGAGAGAAACAGCGAGAGAGAACATTGTTAACATATGGATAGCTGACACAGGAAAAAGGAAATGCTACAGCAGATAACTGGCCAAATATCTTTCTGCAATGAATCATAGAATTGTAGAGTTGGAAGGGACCACAGTGATCATATAATCCAACCCACTGCAATTTGCAGGAAAAAAATAAATAGATAAAACTCATGAAAAGCTGCTGTCCAGTCTCTTCTGAAGAACCTCCAGAAATGGAGAACCTACAACCTCCATAGGTCTTGTTACCATCAGGAAGTTTTATTTTTCCTTGTAAAATAAGGTAGCTTCAACTTATACCTGTTATTTCTGCTCCTATTTTCTGAGATCATGGAAAAGAGATACCTGTAGCTTCCATTCATGTACCTGAATGCAGCTAGAATGCCTTCCCTAAGTCATCCATTCTCCAGACTGGACATTCCATCCATTCTTTCAGCCTGTCCTCAAAGGTCAGGTCCTCTTTTTTCCATCAGCTGATTCTGACAAACCATTGATATTAAGGCAGAACCTCATTGCATTTAATTGTCTTTATTTACCTTTGACATCCTCTATAAGCAGGAGTATTTTTTAAGTACAATGAGCAGCAATCAATAGCATATAACAAAGCAAGCTGAATTATTCATTTGCATAATTTCCTCTATTATGCATGATTTATTTTGGTTGGTTAGTAATGGCAAGGGGTAAGATAGATTCAAGGTATTGAAGTTTTAGTTGTAACTATTAGAAATCATGTTCCCCATAAGGACTAGACATACAGATTTTTCTTTTAGCAAAAGCTGAAATTCTTCAGGAGCTAAACCCTTTTTCCTAGTTATTTATGTATTAATTTAGGGGATTTATATGTCACGTTTCTTCTGTGACAGTGACCTGTTAAAGATAAAACTCAGAACACATCTTAAAATCCATATTAAAATAAATAATTTAAGAATTAGAAGCAATGGAAACAAGATGTATCTTTTCAGATTTTCCAAATGCTGAGAAAGTGGTAGCAAATCCCAGCGTAAGTCCCAAGCAAGCCATCACATGTCATAGCTGTGGAATAATGCCAGAGAAGGTCCTCTCCCACAGGAAAGACCTGTGACAACACCGCATCATCTAATGGGCACGGCAGAGCCCTTGGTATAAACATCTTACAGAAATGTTTCATTTTAATGTTTAACTTTCTTCTCAAATAATTTCTTCCACCAGTTCCTCCTATCCTATACTCTTCCACAGTCCAATGCAGCAGCTTTGATGGAATATATATACATATTCTCTCACTCTGCATTTGTGATTTTCTTTCAGCCCAGGACTAGGTCCTCCCTTCATCAACTGCTTTGAAATCAGAGCAATGCTTGGTCTTTCAGGGGAGGGGAGCAGGGTTTATTTCCCCCTTTTTTAAAATAAGAGAAGTTTGGGAATTGTGAAAACCTCCCCAAAGTTTTCTGTAGAGGAAGCAACGTGGAAAGGTTCTGCCTACAAACTCACAATGACATCCTTAGGGGTATTTGTGCCCCACTTTTCAGAGCACATAACGGTTGGGTTTGAAGCACACCTGCCTGCCTTTTAAAATATTCAGAAAGAGAATAACAATAACAAGAAGAAAGCCCTCACCACTATGAAATAATAAATAGGAGTGCACCTTCATATTATGTATCTCTTCCACCAAGTGAAGACATTTTTATTTTCCCTGGGAATGCACTTTGAAAAATGCTTTAGCCTGCAGAATATTTTTTAACTGCTGCCACATAGCATTGTTAATGTTTTCTTTTCTTTCTTTCATGCATATTTTACTATTTTATGATATTTGTTATTTACCACTCTAGAATCTATTGAAGAAAGGGCAGCATGCAACTCTTCTAAATAACACTGAATTCAGAAGCTATAGAAAAGGAGTAGTTGTATGTATGTTAGAACCAGCCACCCCCAGAATCCAAATGAATAAACTTGGCAGTGCTGTAGAGAGCAACTAGGTTCCAATAAATTGAAGAGAACAAAATTAGAAGCAAGGCTGTTGCTGGTGTCTGCTATCACCAGCCCACCAAAGGATATGCTTCTCAAAAGCAAAGTACAACTTTCTCAAAGAGGCATGAAATAATAGTGATGGGGAACTTTAACTACCTTGATCCTTGTTAGGAAACTCTGCTAAACATAGTCCTTCCAGCAATTTCTTGCCTTGCCTTGCCTTGACCACAACTTTGTCCTTCAGAGGTAAGGAAAAGCTAAGAGGATCAGCTATCCTTGACTTGATTGAGAAGACTTAGTCAAGAAAATGTAAACAGAAGAAACACTGGGAGAAAATGACTGAACAATTCCACAGTTCTTGATTCCGAGCTAAACCACCTACATAGCTTGGACTTCAGAAAAGGGGATTTTAATGAACTCAGAGCAACAATAAATAGAATTCAATGGCAGGTGAAGCTAGTGGTGAAAGGAGAACAAGGTAGGTTGGAGTGTTTTAAAAAAGAACATACTAAAAACAGAATTACAAACAGTTCCAAAAAGTTTAAAAACAGCATTTTTTGCAGCAACAATCTAGCTGCAAAAAAAGCTAAAGAAACAGGAGGTGAAACATCACTAAGAAACAGTATTGACAGATAGGCAAATATTTTGGAATTCCAGCGAAGCTCAAAATGATCAGAGATACAATAGGATCCTAAAATATAGATCATTGGTTCTCAACGGGGGC